TCTTTCTACCTCCCTAAGCTTATCCACACTCAACAATGGGGTTTTGTGAAGAAATCAAGAGGAAAGACGGTCTCTTAAAGGTTTTCTTGAAGAGGAAAGATGGTGGCAAGGTGGAGCACAATAGCAGCTGCTGAGTGTTACGTAGGAGTGTGTAGTAATCTGACCTAGGTTAATGTGCCATCATATTTATATGTACACTTAATTAATCCATCGATATTAATTCTAATCGCTCCGCTAATTATTTTACTCCCAAACTTAATATCCTGAACCTAACTATTTTTCTAGGAATTATCATATTTTTATTATAATTTTTGCAGCACTTTGCCGATACGCATTTTATACGTAGCTGTATTAGTTCTGACATCAACGCTCATTATTCTTACTCCAAACTTGATATCCTTTACCTAGATATTTTTCTAGGAATACTTCTATTTTTGTTATAATTTTTTGGGATCCTTCACCGATACTCATTTATACTGTGAAGCAAAACCAGTATCTGCACTTTTCAACAGAAAAATGACTTTAAACATTATTCGCCTTTCTAAATAATTATCTTATCATGTTTATGCATAATATTAATCCAATCCATGCTCCAACATCGATAATCTTATTTAATTAATTATTTAGCGGTGCGAGTTCTTACAGAGGGGGCTAAAATGCATTATATATTTTTTAAGTTAAAATTATATATAAGAACAAAAAAATAAAATAAAATGATTATTTAAATAAATTTAATTCATAAAAACATTATTTTATATATATTTTTTATAAATTTGATAGTTACTCAAGATTTGATAGGCATAAACAGATTAACATGCCTAAATCAGACATTTTAATTTTTAAATATAGATCAGATCAAACTTATAATTTAGTTTATACCAAATTAACAGGTCAAATAAAACTTAAGGGGTATATTGGTTTATGATTTTAAAAGACTATTTTGAGTTAAAAAAATCTTTTAGATTTTAAAAAACTATCTAGAATTGCAGTGGCTTTAAAGACTTTTTTAAAAAACTTTTTTTACAATCAAAATTTTATAAGATTGAATTTTAAAGGATTTTAATATAATTTACAATATTTGAAAGGATAATATGGATTTATAAGATATTAAAGAATCATATGAATTTTTAACAAATATTCAAAATTACAATAGTCAATAAAAAAATAACAAAAAAATGCAATGATATTAATAAAAAAAGTAAAACCTAATATAATTTTTTCAATCAGTAATTTGAGGTAACTTGACATCCTACTAAGCAGTAACTCTCCACATATCTATACTAGCCGTCTAAGCAATAGCATTTTCTCGTTCGTGTTCTTGGGTTTGACCAATGGGTTAAAAATTATATTCTTCATTTGGTATCAGAGATATACATATATGATTATGAGACCCACAATTTTTTTATTTATTAAAATAATGGGTTTGGTGTTTGTCATTTTAAATGACATAAGTTATGTCATTTTAGGAGAGAGATAGACACAGAAAAATGGAAATCATGGGAGAGAGAAAGTGGGTGGTTTTTTTTTTAATTTAAAATTTAAATAAATTTTTTTTATGTGTCTGTCTCTCTCTTAAAAGGACAGAGTGTTATATCATTTAAAATGACAAACACTTTTCCCTAAAATAATTTGAGATATGCATATAGAACCTAAAGTTCATGATAAAATTTCGTTTGGAATTTTTTGCAATTGATCTTGAAAATCTTATAGTTTTGTTCTACATGATGAGAGTTTTCTAACCATATATCATATGCATATTTTTATTGAATATTCTAAGAAAATTTTGACTATGAATTTCTGGGTTTTATAAATTAAAATTTAGAAAATTTCTCGAATTATTTTCAATTGATTTTGAAAAATAATTTTTTTGTTATCTATTGACATAAAAATTGTTTGAAATTATTTCCTATAGCGAAGGAATTTCGTTCATGAATCTATTGTTACGAAACATTGGGTTGATATTATGAAAGTTTCATTCTTTTTTTTTTAAATCGATCTTGTTTCATTGATGTAAAATGAAAAATGATTGGGGGGTTTATTGCCCCGTTGTTTTTTCACTATTTTATATTATTTTTAATAAAAAAAATCTCACATTTTTGTGCCAAGAAAAATCGCGACCCATAACTTGAAAATCATTTTGCAAGTTGTTCATACGTAAAGCTTGGTTGTTATTATACGTTGGAAAAACTTCATTTTAGACTCAAAAATTCTAACTTCTCTTAGATTTATCTGATGAAATCTCTATGATCTTCAATTATTTTTCTATTATGAACTTTATGATTCGGTTATATGTCTTGAACCAAGTTGTTGGCTACACAAGTTCTCATCAATTGACAAATTTGATGGTGCATATGTATTACAAGACAATTTTTGTGATGATTTGCAGTAGGGGCAACTGTTAATTGTAATCGAAGATGAAAGCTCAAATTTGAAATTGATGTTGATTTTGAATTAATGGCATTGTTGGAGAAAGGCTTAAATAGAGACAAAATAATTATTGCTCATGAGTTTTTCCTTACACTGGCTGCTTGTAATACAATGATCCCTATTCTTAATGGCAGTTGTGGAGCAAACGAATCAAATCATGATGTAGAATGTATTGAATACTAGGGAGAATCTCATGATGAAATATAGTTTTAGTTTTTGCAGCCTCTGCATATGGGTATACTTTTTTCGAGCGAACATTTGGAAATATTGTTATTGACATCCATGGAGAGAAATTTAGGTAAATAGTGATTTCCTTTTGGTGGGAGATTTTATGTTTTGATTTTTTTTTAAGAATTTTAGGCTTTTATATTTAATGGAATCGAATTATATATACATTGCATAGTCTATGTTAAGAATAGTGGTTTAGAAGTCCCACATCAGATATATCTCATTGTAATTCCTTTCCTTTTAATTATATAATAGAGCCTCCATTGTGTAGTTTAGATATATGGATTACTCACAAATCTCTTGGATCCTGATATTTAACATGGTATCCAGAGCCTAACGAGAAAAATCCTAATCTGCCTTCCTTTATTTATATTTTTCATAATTTTAATATGGTAATAGAGAGATATCACCCCTCATGAGGGATTTTCGCTGCCGACGTCAGTTTCTGGCTTCACCGGCCACCGTCAGCCACCCTCATCTGCCACTGAAAAAGTTTTTAGGCGACTGTTCCAACAAAAAAAAACATTAACGAAATCAGAATGAGTCGATCTACCCAATGCTGGAGGACCCACCATCAAAAGAGGTCCCACGCGCTCTCAGTTCTAATCACGGTCGCTCTATTGCCCGCTGTTGTGGTTCAGATTTGCCCATTATTGTAGTGTTCTGTCCTATTCAGTTCGTAGGTGCCACCGTCGTCCCTATTTCGGCCTCGTTCGTCTGTTGGTTCGTCTTTTTGAGAAGGTATTGTTCGTTCCCGTTGTTACTCATTTGTTGTTTGATATACCTTTAGTTTATCATGTTTATAGGGCTAATATTGCATGAATTATATAGTCAAAAGCATGAATACTTATGTTTTATATTGAAAATCATGGAAATTAGATTTCTATCTAACATATCTTAATCTTATTGGTTTTGAAGGCAAATTAATACAAATTTGAGCAAGAATGGATTTAAAGATTGAAGTTGGAATTAGAGATCAATGTTCATCAAAGAAGGGGACAACAACATTCAGATCTGGGAATAGGGAACACGCGATTCAACAGGAACTACTTTACTTAGTCGGAACACGCTAGTTGCGCCATACTTTCTTGCAACCCACGCTCACAGCGTGGGAACCACGCTAGTTGCGTGAACTTCCAGTAACGTGAATAAAACTCCCACGCTCATAGCGTAGGAACCACGCTAGCGTAGGAGGTGTGGACAAATCAGAAGTAAATCCTGTTTTGTATCAGTGGAAGATTTTACGACGAAGATTTAATCAAGATATCTGAGCAAGACACAATGTCTATAAAATAGAGGCTTAGACTCCCAGAGAAAAACATCTTTGGCAGGAGAGAATTGCGAGGATCAGAAAATTGAGAGAATTCTTGGAGACTCGTGCTGGAGATCAGGATTCCACCGGAGTTGAAGGCTGAAGACATTGAGTTTTTATTCTTCTTCTTCTTTTCTTCTTAGTTTATGAACAATTTTTTTTTGTTTTGTTTAAGTCAGACATGAATATGTCTGGCTAATTTCTTTTTGTAGTTGGGATCACGGACCCGATGTGAATCCTTTATATTCCTGTATTGATATTTTTTAAGTTAATTAGTTAGTTTGTTTTATTCTACCTGTTTAGAATTGGCCACTCTAAATTATAGGGCTTTGAGGGTTAGAATTCACAATAAACATATTGGGGTTTTAATCTGAACAAGGGTAGAATAACAATTTGTGTATGATCTAGACATAGGCTTACATAAATTGCAGACTCATAATTCATTTGCTTAATGCTTAATTCAAGAGGGATTACTAAGACATTAGAATTCTGATTCGGTTAAAGGGTTGAAATCACTAAGACATTAAGGTTCAACTATTTTATAGGGAAATAATGAATTGTCTGAACAAACGAATTAATTAACTATAAAATATAATATAGGAATATAAGGGAGGATCGGAGGTGAAGTGTATCCTGGCTATATCCTTTTTATAAATTTTTCATCAATATTTTCTCGCTTTCTTGATCTTTTCTTGCGTGCGTTCAAAATTAATTGTTATTAATTTTCTGTTTTAAATTTAATTATTTTTAAATTCTGTTTTGAAATTCCAAAATTAATTACTTTCACAACTCAACCCAATTTTATTTTCCAACTTAAGGGGAATAGTTAAACTAGTACTTGGTGCATTAATCCTCGTGGGAACGATACTCTACTTATCACTTTATTACTTGAAACGAACGGTATACTTGCCAATTTTGCAACAAGTTTTTGACGCCGTTGCCAGGATTAATTACGTCAATATTAGTCTTAACTTTCGATCTTTGAGATTGGAATTTTTATTTTTATTTTGTTACTAATTTATTTCTCTCTTTTATGCGAGGTAAAGCTAACAAAGAACCTTTACAGTTTGATCCAGAAATCGAAAAGACTGCAAAGAAGAACCGGAAGCTAACCAAGCTAAGGAAGATAGAGGAATCCTCGAGTTCAGAGCCAAAAGCCGAACCCGAGATGACAGCTAATAATCTACCACCATCAGAGGAAGAATTTATGGAGTCAATCTTGGCTCCACAGTTCACAAGGCCAAATTCCAGCATCATCAGACCACCAATCAACGCCAATAATTTTGATATCCAGCCAACACTGATAACCCTGGTAGAGAAAAACCCATTTGGCGGAGAAGATTATGAAGAACCCTATGACTTTATAGACAGATTTTTGAGAATCTGTGACACTACCAAGCATAACGGGGTGTCAGATGATGCAATTAGACTCCGACTGTTCCCTTTTGCTGTAACAGGGAAAGCTCTCAGATGGTTGGATAGACAAGCCCCCAACAGCATCAGAATGTGGGATGAGCTAGCAGCCAAATTCTTCGCAGAGCACTTCTCCAGGGAGAAATACAACAAGTTGGTGAATGAAATCACCAACTTCACTCAACAACCAGGAGAAACTCTATGTGCAGCTTGGACTAGGTTCCAAGAACTGATCAGAAGGTGCCCCGCGTATGATCTGCCAGACGGGAAGAAGGTCAGAATCTTCTATAATGGAATGACACCTGACTCCAGAATGGTTGTCAATGGTGCAGCCGACGGGACCATAGCAAGGAAGACAACAACTCAAACTTTAGAGCTGATCGACTTCATGGCAAGGGCTGAGAACGCATCAATGACAGTTCAACCAGTTCAACCAAGAATGGGAATCCTGCAGTTGGGAAACAATGATGCATCACTTGCAGAACCAAAGATCCTATCTCAACAGATAGCTAGTCTGAATGCAAAGTTGGACAAGTTGCAACTCTCTATAGCTCAAGTTGACTCGGTCAACTGTGAGTATTGTCAAAGTGATCATGATACTAACATTTGCCCAACATTGGTAGGAACAGATGCTGTACAAGTTAATGGAATCTGGTATGAACCAAAACCACAATCGAATTTTTAGAGAAACCAGAACAATGCTCCAGGAAACAACTACCAAAGGAGGATTCAAGGTGGAGGTTTGGATTACAAATCCAACAACTATTTACAACCTCCTCCAATTCCACAAACTCAAATATCTGAACTAGAGAGAGCACTGATACAGTTGACAAAGACAACTGAAATATTCATGAATGAGACAAGGGCTCATCACAAAAATCAGGATGCATCTATCAGAAACTTGGAAAACCAGATTGGCCAACTGTCAAAATAGCTAGAAGAAAGGACTAAAGGTCAATTTCCAAGTAACACAATAATCAATCTGCGAGAAGATTGCAAGTCAATTGTTACAAGAAGCGAAATTGTCATCACTCCTCAAGAAAAACTGAAGGTGGTTCAGAAAAAGAAAGCAGACGAACCAGTTCTTGAACCGGAGATAGAAAAAGAGGAGGAGACACCTGCAAAAGAAGACAAAGAGGAAGCAAAGGAGAAAGCTGCAGAGACTCCAAAGAAGCAATGGGATTTTTCTCGCTTTGAGAAACCACCTTATCCCATAAAGTCAAGGCAAGCAAAGAAGAAACAACATGCCAGGTTTTTAGAAATATTTAAAAAGTTCCAAATTAATATTCCCTTTGCTGAAGCTTTAGCTAACATGCCTAACTATGCTAAGTTTATGAAAGAACTCTTGTCTAGAAAGCACAAGTTGCAGGAATGTGAAACAGTTGCTCTCACAGAGGAATGCAATGCCATAATCCATAAAAAGTTTCCACCAAAGCTTCAAGATCCAGGGAGTTTCAACATCCCGATTGCGATAGGCAACATCGACCGGGCATTGTGTGATCTTGGAGCAAGCATCAACCTTATGCCACTGTCTGTGATGAAATCTCTCAAAATTTTCGAGTTGAAGCCAACAACATTATCGCTCGAACTTGCTGACAGAACGTTGAGAAGCTCAAACGGTGTAATAGAAGACGTACTTGTCAAAGTGGACAAGTTCATCTTCCCTGCTGACTTCGTAGTCCTCGACATGGAAGAAGAAGGAGACATGCCTCTTTTGTTGGGTAGGCCATTCCTTGCCACAGTAAGAGCTATGATTGATGTGGAAAAGAGAAAGCTGGAATTGAGAATGGACAACGAAAAAGTCACCATCGATGTGTTCAAAGTTATGAAGCATGCAGAAGATAATGGTGATTGTTTTCGGGTGGACGTTCTCGAAGCGCTCTTCCTTGAAAAGGAGGATGACTAGACTCTTGAAGAAGAGAAGGAATTCTTTGATGAAAACCCTCCAAAGGAAGATGCTAAAATTCCAACAGAGGAGTTGGAAAAGAAAGAGTCAGACACCATAAATGAAGCACCAAAGGTGGAGTTGAAAGAGCTTCCATCCAATCTAAAATATGTTTTCTTAGGAGATGAAGAAACGTATCATATCAGCATCAACTAGGAGCTATCTGAGACTGAAGAAACAAAGTTGATGAAAGTTCTCAAAGAACACCAAACAACCATAGGTTGGTTCATCTCCGATCTCAAGGGAATCAACCCTTCCTTTTGCACTCACAAAATACTGATGGAAGACAACATCAAACCTGTAAGACAAACTCAGAGATGACTCAATCCTACTATGAAAGAGGTAGCTCAGAAGGAAATGGTGAAACTCCTTGATGCCGGCATGATCTACCCAATCTCAGACACTGCATGGGTAAGTCCGATCCAAATAGTGCCAAAGAAAGACGGAGTTACAGTGATCAAGAACGAGAGCAATGAACTAATTTCCACCAGAACCATAACTGGGTGGAGGATGTGTGTGGATTACAAAAGACTAAATGATGCCACACAGAAAGATCACTTTCCTATTCCTTTCATTGATCAGATGCTGGAACGGCTGTTCGGATATGCATATTACTATTTCCTAGGCAGTTACTCCGGCTACAACCAGATACCTGTTGCACTAGAGGATCAAGAGAAGACGACTTTCACCTGCCCCTTTGGAGTGTTCGCTTACAGAAGAATGTCGTTTGGTCTCTGCAATGCACCTGCTACTTTTCAAATGTGCATGCTTTCCATCTTTTCTGATATGATTGAAAAATCATTGGAGGTATTTATGGATGACTTTTCTATTTTTGGTTCTTGTTTTGACTCATGCTTACAAAATTTAGCTAAAGTATTGAGGTGTTGTCAAGAAACAAACTTAGTTTTAAACTGGGAAAAATGTCATTTTATGGTAAAAGATGGAATAGTACTAGGCCATAGAATTTCTGAAAAAGGGATAGAAGTTGATAAAGCTAAACTGTTGTTAATTGAAAAACTCCCCCTCCTTCTAATGTGAATGGTGTTCGAAGCTTCTTAGGCCATGCAGGCTTTTACAGACGATTCATCAAGGACTTCTCCAAGATTGCAAAGCCATTGAGTCAACTATTGGTGAAGGACACTGAGTTTAAATTTGATAAAGAATGCCTGAAGTCCTTTAACCTGCTGAAGGAAAAGCTGACAACCGCGCCTGTCCTGATGGCACCTGATTGGAACCTTCCTTTTAAGCTCATGTGTGATGCAAGTGCATACGCAATTGGAGTGGTACTCGATCAGCGTATGAATAAGCTATTACATGCCATATATTATGCTAGTAAGGTGTTAAATGAGGCACAAGTAAATTATGCCACAACTGAAAAAAGAAATGTTGGCTGTAGTATATGCATTAGATAAATTTAGACCTTACTTGATAGGATATAAAGTTCTTGTTTTTATTGACCATGCTGCATTGAAGTATCTCATGAGTAAACAGGATGCGAAGCCATTGCTGCTGCGTTGGATGCTTCTGTTCCAGGAATTTGATCTGGAAATTCGAGACAAGAAGGGAGTTGAAAACAAAGTAACAGATCACTTGTAAAGGATTCAAGACAAAGAACTGCAAGATGGACCTGAGATTGAAATAAAAGAATCCTTTCCTGATGAACAAGTGATGGCAGTTCACTCCGGACCATGGTTCACGGAATTAGCAAATTACAAAGTTATAGGATCAATTCCTGAAGAACTCACATGGCAACAGAAAAAGAAGTTCCTGCATGATGCAAAGCGATAATACTGGGATAACCCATATTTATATTTCTAATGTACTGATGGGATTATTCGCAGGTGTGCAGCTGAGATGGAGATTCCAAAGATTCTTTAGCACTGCCATGCGTCGAATTATGGAGGACACTTTGGTGGAAATAGAACTGCACAAAAGGTCCTGCAAAGTGGGTTCTACTAGCCCACAATATTCAAGGACTCGAAGGAGTTCGTAGAAAAGTGCGACAGATGCCAGAGGTCGGGAAACATATCCCGGAAGGACAAGATACCACTGAATTGCATACTGGAAGTGGAAGTCTTCGATGTATGGGGAATTGACTTCATGGGACCTTTCCCTGTGTCGTATTCCAACCAATACATCTTGGTTGATGTGGACTACGTGTCCAAGTGGGTGGAAGCAGTGGCCCTATCGACAAATGATGCTAGGGTAGTCGTGGCCTTCCTACAGAGAAACATCTTCACCCGATTCGGAGTCCCACGAGCCATCATCAGTGATGGAGGAACCCATTTCTGCAACAAGCAATTTGATGGTCTTCTCAAGAAGTATGGAGTCACACACAAAGTGGCCACACCGTATCATCCTCAGACAAGCGGACAAGTGGAGATTTCCAACAGAGAGCTGAAGCAAATCCTAGAGAAGACTGTGCGCAACACAAGAAAAGACTGGGAAAAAAAGCTTGACGATGCACTCTGGCCATACAGAACAGCTTTCAAGACTCCTATAGGTATATCACCATTCCAACTGGTGTACGGTAAGTCCTGTCATCTCCGTGTTGAGTTAGAACATAAGACTATCTGGGCAACTAAATTTCTGAATTTTGAACCAACTAAAGCTAATGAAAAATGATTACTGCAATTACATGAGTTGGATGAGTTCAGGTTAGCTGCTTATGAGAATGTCAGGATCTACAAGGAGAAGACAAAGAGGTGGCATGATAAGAAGATAGCTCCGAAGGAATTTGAGCCGGGACAACAGGTATTATTGTACAATTCTCGACTGAGATTGTTTCCAGGTAAACTCAAATCCCGCTGGTTAGGTCCCTTTGTTGTGAAAAAGGTATACCCTTATGGTACAGTAGAAATTTCTCCTATAGACACTGATAATCCTTTCAAGGATAATGGCTGTAGGCTGAAACTATACTACGGAGGACTGGTGAATCGGGACAAGGTTTATGTCCCTCTAACTTTACCTGAGTCTTAGACCGTTCAAGTCAGGCTCGTGACGTTAAACAAGCGCTCATTGGGAGGCAACCTAGTAGAAAAATTTAATTTAATTTATTTAATTTTATTTTTTAGGATAGATAAAAACAAAAAATTAAATAAATGGTGAAATGTGTGATGAAAGAAAGAACATGAATCTGGGAATTGGCGCTGCTGGCGCCAGACTCGCGCTAGTAGTGCCAGAGAGAAAATTTTACAGTGAGTCCGCGCTTTCAGCGCCACTATAGCGCTGTCAGCGTGAGAAATCCTCAAGATATGCCACGCCATCAGCGTTATAGTAGCGCTCTCAGTGCCACTGATCAAAAAGTTCCAGTGAGTTCCACGCTCACCGCGTGAATCCCAAGCTATGAACGTCAAAAACTCACAAGATTCGCGCCAACAACATGAAATCCAAGCTGAGAGCGCCCATGATCAAAAACTCACTGAGAGCTCTGCGCTAACAGCGTTAACTCCACGCTATCAGCGCCAGCCCCAAAATCAGAATTTTAAAATTAAAACCTTAAATTCCTAAACCCCCCACTCTCACATAGCCGTCCCTTCCTCTCTCTCTCTCTCTCTCTCTCTCTCTCTCTCTCTCTCTTCTTTTCTCTTTTTCCTTCCCTCACCATTCACACCACCGACACACTTCTCCTCTTTCTCCCTCAAACTACCCCATCCAACACCGCTCCCCGACCACGAAGCTCCACCATCATATTTTCTTTCTCTTTCAACTCCCTCTTCATTCTCTAATTTTTTTTTCTTTCTCCCTCTCCCCCAAACCTTCGACCAACAGCCTTTCCACCACCATCTCACTCTTTCTTCTACATTGCCTTCCACCACCGCACCACCCTTCAACATCTTTTTAACCCATAACCCTCACCGTGAAAACCACCAACCATCGTACCCTAGCCAAACCCATTCAACCTTCAACCATCACCGTGAAGAACGACTACCAGTCTGATTTGAAGTTTTTGACTACACTAGGGTTTTCAAGTTTTTAATCTTCAATTGCATCTATGGCCGGTGAAAAGGAACAATTCCTAATTGGATTTTAATGCTAATCGATTGGAGATGCAAGGTTTGAGTTACAAGTTTAATCATGAATATATCTGGTAGGCTATATTATGCTTTGATGAATCGGGTTATGAAATTAGTTGGTATGATCTATCTGGGTCTGGATGACTAGAAATACCATGATGTAGTGAGTTTGTTTTACAGCACTGGTATGAAAACTTTAATGGTGCAATATTTTAATTCATTTCTGATTTTAAAACATGCATAGTAAGTGTTCGATGTTTGGTCTCAATTAAGAAAGCTAAAGATAGATTAATATTCATGATGTAGTGATTGGCTGATTATAATGGTTTTATGTTGTTTAGTTACACTTCATGATTCACAATATGAGTACCCATTCGAATTAGGAACTCTGAGAGGTGAAAGTATAATTAGTAGTTTTCCAGGTGATCATCCTATTGCAATGCAAATTTTCTGATAATTGATGGCATTGATTCTTTTTCTGATGCAAGAATGCGCACGCTATTGTTTTGATGGCTGATTTGATTTTTGGGCACTATATTGTTTTGCATTGATTCTTTTTCATGCGCACCACATGGATGAAATAGGTTTTGAGCCTATACAGAAAATTTTTATTCAGTGTGCACTTCATCGTATGAGATATATAACACCTCGTAATTCTAAATCAAATATTAAAATATTAAATGAGAATTAAACGGAAGGATTAGTGAAAATCCTGGAAATTAGGTCAAAATACAAAGAAAGGGCAAAACGATAATTAGCCAACACGCAACCCTAGGAAGATAAAAATTGAGTAGAAGGTCTCAGATGATAAAAATAAAATAACCCTGGAAATGGATTCAGAACAAAAAATTGAGTGGTTAGACAAGTTTCAGAAATTCAGTGAATAGTGTTTTTACCGGGTAAAAATACCGCAGTACAGTTGCACCGTAAAACGTGCCGATTAAG